ACATATATGTGATCATAAATAATACAGTACATGTTTTCAATATTTTTTTGATTCATAATCATTTGGATATAAACCTACCTGTTTAAAAAAAGAGCTGTTAAAACAATCTTGCCAAGTTTGTGTATCTGTATTTCAGAGCTGTGGAATCAGCAGTGCTTTTGGTTGGCAACAAGCAAGATCTCTGCCATGTCCGAGAGGTTGGCTGGGAAGAAGGGCAAAAACTGGCATTAGATAACCGATGCCAATTCTGTGAACTTTCTGCAGCAGAGCAGCCTCTGGAAGTAGAAATGATATTTATCAGAATTATCAAGGACATCCTGACAAACTTCAAACTCAAAGAAAAGAGAAGACCCAGCGGATCTAAATCAATGGCCAAATTGATCAATAATGTATTTGGAAAGAGAAGGAAATCTGTTTAGTAGATACGTGATCCTAGGGGATTTACTGTATCAGAGAGTTTCAAATACCCACATGATAATTAAACTCACCTTTCGTATGCAATGTTTTAGGAAATAATTCTCCTGAAGATATGAAAAGATTAAACATGAACTACAGCTGCATTTTCAAATATATAGTTTGCCTTTTTGGTTGCTTGTATCCTGTTCGCTCTGCTTTCCACATGATCTTTCATTTATTATACAAACTAGAACTCACTCTAATCTATTGGTGGATTGCTATCCAGTTTGCCTTACCAAATAAAATCTGCTTATGTAATTTTACTAAAGTACCATACCATAATTTGTGGCTTACCTCTATTTTATATAGTTCTTTTGATTGAAATATATATTTATATTCATAATATGTTATATTATGCCCATAATATATTACAGGGCTTAACTAACCAATTTGTGAAAGTTCTTGATCCATTTTATAGTAATGCATGGCTTCATTTTTAAAGTGTTCTTACAATAATCCAGTGAGTTATATACTCTTACACATATTTTACTTATATAACTTGGGCCTTAAGAAGTTAAATTATTTGCCCATAAGCACACAATTTATAGTTGCTTTCATGATGAAAATATCTGCCTTTCCTTGATGTGTGCTACATAAACAAGGGAAATTATCACAGAGAAATTAACTTAGATCCTTTTTAGATCAAAAGATTAATCTATTTTATTTTATTTACAAACCCACATATCATAGGAAAAGAAAAAAAGTAAAAATGGGTTGATAAATACACAACCTTGAAGGCTTTGTTGCTCTGAAGAAATATTTTTGTGTTAGATACAAACATTTTTGGGCCTTTTCAGATTACTTTGATCACCATTGCCTTCTAAAGACAACTGTCTTGCCTTCTAGACCACAGTACTGCTGCTGCTGCTCTTGTCAAGTTTTGCAATCTTATGTCTTTCAAGTAGAGACCCTAGGCCTAACTTTAGCCAAGTTGTTGTTTAACATGTCTCAGACCAGTTAAACTCAAACTACAAGCAGTGCTACACAGATACTTGGTTAATATGTGTCAGCAAGAAACTGGAGGCCAAGACTCAAGATGATCTTGAGTAGATGGTGATAGACTGGAGTGGAGGATGGATGTCAGAGAATATTAGACTGGATAGGAAAAAATTATTGACATGGAGTCACTCACCATGAGTAAAAATTCAGTGTTTTAGGAGTGACACCTATGGCTGGTCTACATAGCTTTTCCGTTCCTTAG